TCGATGGAGACAATGGAGCTAACTAATCCCAATGTCCACCCCGTGTTTCCGACATATTTATTATTTCGTGTATTATTAGAATGAATGTGTATTATGTCTTNTTCATGACTATATTCGATTATTTTTTTATTGACAAAACTTTACGCGTTTAACCGCCCGCTCACGCTCTCCGCCTCTGGAGCGACTTCTGACTGATGGGCTCTGGCTTTGTCAATGTGATAAGAAACTTTTAACAAAAAATCACCACTATAGTCGATCAGTGCAGTCCACACGTAGCTAGCTCTCCGTCTATTTATGGCATGGGCAGATGGAACTCTCCCGTGTCGAGCAATGTTGAAATTAATTCGAAATTGCCGCTGTGCTGCGACCACACAATCATTATTTAGTAAGTAAGTAAGATTAATCACAAAAGAACGTTGTTTGCCGGACCACTGTTCCATGATTACTGGCATAAAATGACAGATAATTGTCAAACAAATTCGCGGCAACCTATGAAATAATAACATTTTCAAAACTTCCCGGTCCCATGGTCCACCTGTTATTTGTAGGCATCACCCTTGTAACCGCTTATGAATTCGTAGCCAGTTGAGGAACTGCCGCCGTCGATGGAATGTCGAAGGGCTTGTTTTTGTTTATGATGTTTTCAGGGTTAAGTTCTAGCCTGTATGTGAAGGACCACCATTAACTCATATGGTCATATTTGGCAAAAGTAAACTGATAGGACAGGAACGCGCAAGGGAAACGCCCATGTGAACGAAAGAAAACTGAATGCCCGGAAAACAACCGCATCATTCAATTTATGAAATAACCATAGCCGTGTGGTTTTTATTATTATTATTATTGTTTTGATAGAAAAGTAGTAAACAGGTTGCTAGGCCTGACAGTGGCGGAACGTTAGTTTCCTATTTTATACAAGTGTTNTTTGGATTTTGTAAGGATGACAATTCAGATCCTTGTGTAAAATTATAAGAAAAGTAGTCCTAGATAAGCCCAAGGCCTGGCATTGTTTTCGACTTGAACGTTTTGGACTGCGCTCTACAGATGCTCTAACGCGATCAATGTTTTCAAAACTTCTGACACTTCTATTTGGTCCCTTATGTTTAACATTTTCCACTGATCCAGTATCTTCAAATTTACGAACCCACTCCTTTTAGTCCAAGAGCTAGCTACGTGTGGACTGCACTGATCGACTATAGTCATGATTTTTTGTTAAAAGTTTCTTATCACATTGACAAAGCCAGAGCCCATCAGTCAGAAGTCTCTGTAGAGGCGGAGAGCGTGGGCGGGCGGTTAAATGCGAGAAGTTTTGTCAATAAAAAAATAATCGAATATAGTCATGAAAATTGGTACACTTATAGGTTTTAAATGGATAAACATAGAAAAAATATCGTCAGAAGGCTAGGTGGTGGCTTAAGCGCTCTCAGAAGCGATAAAGTAGTTAATTGTGAATTGAAAAATAAATCACAATATATAGTTCTGACATTTTGTTTATTGTTAGTTTATAATGCAAATAGACTATCTGTAAAGTTACAGAAGTTAAAAGTGAGGCTAACAGTCAAAAAAACATTATTTATCACTGCGCGTGCAAATTTTGCCGTGGTTGTTACGCCCGGCGTTTTTGATCTTTTATTAGTTTTATTGTTAATAAATGATTAAGTATAGTTCTAGCATTTTACGTAACCAATCTTTATATTATATATGTTTATTATAACGAAACAACAGAAGTTTACAGAGGTTAAGGCTATGCCAGAGCTACATAAGTTTAAGTGCAATCGAATAAATTGCTATAATTTTTTTTATTTGGTAATATTTGTTTTCACAATGGTTTTAAATTGGTTTTTCTACCGAAATACACACAGTGCACTTTACTCTGAATCGCAATCTGATGATTCGTCCTGAGTACCATTATCGCTGCTGTATTCTACATCTGTCATTTTTTTTTGTCATTGTAACTGCAATTGAAAACACACACTTTAACACTTGCCATTGTTGGTGGCTTAAAAATTTATTAATACACGAAAAATCTAATGCACAAACAGTGAACGCTGTTAGAGCTGTGACTGGAGCGAAAATCAGAAGCGAGTTGACGCTTGGTTACTATTTTGAAAGTCAGGCCAGAATAACGGTCTGACTACACAGGCCGACAAAAAAATCTTGTGTTTTTGAGACGTGAACCTACCCTTCTTTAGTAAAATTTTCCGCTGAATCCGAAAATGGCCACGTCAAGGCGTCTACCAACCCAGAGTAAGTTATAACCTGGATTTAGAAAATACATACCTAGCTTAAAGTTACTTAAGAGCTTGAAACATTTTGGAAAACAATAAGCTTTCAATGAAAAATGTCATCAATGCTAGGATGCTAACCGTAATTTGAAAATGCTAGCTGGAGGTGAGGTTAAGTGTACGAGCAGAGAGAGATTTTAGTTCAAAAATATTTTTTAGTTTTGGTTTTATCGACAGATCTTAGTTATAACGGTTGCCACGTTTGATTTGTATTTATTTTTATTTTTGAAAGAAGAAAGTGAGAGATACTATTGAGTAGAGGGATCCCCTCACGTCCAAACAATTTTTTTGCCATTTTCGGATTCAGCGAATTTTACTAAATGTAAGTAGATTGTATGACCAGTTTGGATTTTTTTTGCATTTTTAGGAGGAATTGAGGGGATCTATACGTCAGAACTTTTTTTGTGAATTTCGGATTCAGCGAAAAATTTTACTAAGGATGGGTAGGTTGGATAGCCAGTTTGGATTTTTTTAATTTTTGATGGGAATTGAGAGTATGTGAGGAAAATCCATACATCAGAAAATTTTCTTTTTATCTGTTTCGGATTCAGCGGAAAATTTTTCTAAAGATAGGTTGGGCCATGTCTCAGAAACAAACAATTTTTTTTTGTCGGCCCGTGCTATTGTCTTGCGCGCTATACTTGAGTCTGGTATAGTCTTAACATCTGCCTAAACTTCTGTTATTTCGTTATAACATAAATATATATGTAAAGAGTGGCTATGTAAAATGCCTGAACTACATTTATTCATTTTTTAACTATAAAAGAATAAAAACGCTGGGCGTAGCAGCCAGGGCAAAATTTGCACGCGCGGTGATCAATAATGTTTTTTGGCTATTAGCCTCACTTTTAACTTCTGTAACTTTACAGATAGTCTATTTGCATATAAACTAACAATAAACAAAATGTCAGAACTATATATTGTGATTTATTTTTCAATTCACAATTTACTACTTTATCGCTTCTGAGAGCGCTTAAGCCACCACCTAGCCTTCTGACAATATTTTTTCTATGTTTATCCACTTAAAATCTATAAGTGTACCAGTTTTCATGACTATATTCGATTATTTTTTTATTGACAAAACTTTACGCGTTTAACCGCCCGCTCACGCTCTCCGCCTCTGGAGCGACTTCTGACTGATGGGCTCTGGCTTTGTCAATGTGATAAGAAACTTTTAACAAAAAATCACCACTATAGTCGATCAGTGCAGTCCACACGTAGCTAGCTCTCCGTCTATTTATGGCATGGGCAGATGGAACTCTCCCGTGTCGAGCAATGTTGAAATTAATTCGAAATTGCCGCTGTGCTGCGACCACACAATCATTATTTAGTAAGTAAGTAAGATTAATCACAAAAGAACGTTGTTTGCCGGACCACTGTTCCATGATTACTGGCATAAAATGACAGATAATTGTCAAACAAATTCGCGGCAACCTATGAAATAATAACATTTTCAAAACTTCCCGGTCCCATGGTCCACCTGTTATTTGTAGGCATCACCCTTGTAACCGCTTATGAATTCGTAGCCAGTTGAGGAACTGCCGCCGTCGATGGAATGTCGAAGGGCTTGTTTTTGTTTATGATGTTTTCAGGGTTAAGTTCTAGCCTGTATGTGAAGGACCACCATTAACTCATATGGTCATATTTGGCAAAAGTAAACTGATAGGACAGGAACGCGCAAGGGAAACGCCCATGTGAACGAAAGAAAACTGAATGCCCGGAAAACAACCGCATCATTCAATTTATGAAATAACCATAGCCGTGTGGTTTTTATTATTATTATTATTGTTTTGATAGAAAAGTAGTAAACAGGTTGCTAGGCCTGACAGTGGCGGAACGTTAGTTTCCTATTTTATACAAGTGTTCCCACACTACAGTGTTCGAACTTGTAATAATAGTGTCACGTCACCCGTTTATTATTTCTATGGAGACAATGGAGCTAACTAATCCCAATGTCCACCCCGTGTTTCCGACATATTTATTATTTCGTGTATTATTAGAATGAATGTGTATTATGTCTTTTATTCAATTATAATAAAAATAGATTATAATAATATTGTACACATCAGACTTGTGTCGTATATCATATACGACACAAGTGTCGATACTACCTTTTAATACTTTACTCATATCACTACCAACATAGCAATATCGTACCGAAACAAAATACTAGACAAACGTTAGCCACTGAACTAAACTTCAGGTAAAAGAGTTGCTAACAATTTTTACAAAACTAGCTCCCTAAAAAAATTGCAATAGGCATATATTTTAAATTTTTAAGGTCTATTTAACAAAGTATTGGAGCTTTATTTCTTTTTGACTTACTTTCATAGCTTGTACACCTACCTATAAATTAGAACGGCCTGTAAAAAAAATAAATTCTATATTGCCTAAAACAAGTAAGTAGTTACCGGCCGTTTCTGATAGATTCAACGTGTTTGTTAATTTACGGGTGCTACTTTCATTAAAAATAATTCGAGTTGAATGGAGCAAATACCAGAAAATTTTAAGGTGTCGAGTCCAGTCTGTTTTGTTTTATATGGTAAGGTCTTTACATCTACATTACTTTAATTTCAGTCCTTTGGACATGGATCTACTTAAAAGCACATCAATTCAGTTATTTCTTTTCGGCATAAGAATATTATTGCAACACATTTGCCTTATAATAGGAGTATGTATATAATAAAATAAAAACAGAACGTACAAAGTTTTAGCTACCTCTGTAAGAGATTCGTTGCTTCACCCCTGTCTAGGGGTATGCCCAGATCATGAAATGCTCGTACAAGTTCATCCAGATCTATTTTTCCTGAAAAAGAAACAAAATATATGTAACTATCAAATAGGATGGAAATACATACAATAAATAAAAATATATAAATACACAGTTATTCTAGGTCATCAAATATCAGAGGGTAATTCTTCAAATCATTTTATGAAAATAAAGTTTATATATAACATACATATGTTCAAAAACCAGGGGCGTGCGTGTAGGCAATTATTTAAAAAAATAATATGTACGCCACAGCAGAACTTATAATATTTTCTTTTTGTAAGCTGCGTTCATTACCTGACATAATATATCTCTCAGAATATTTTCCTTCGACACTTAGTCCTGGAGAGAATTACTATTTTATTAATTATACATTCGTATTATTGTATAATTTTTTTTTATAAAATAGCATTTTTCTCCAGAACTAAGCTCCAAGTGAAAATATTTTAACGATAATGAACGAGAATTACAAAAAATACTCAGAATATTAAAAATTGCAGTGACGTTTATATTATTTTTAATATAATTGGATACTATTGCCTACGCACACACCTCTGTTGAGGTGATGAAATTTTAGTTGACACTAAAACGTGCCCTCGAATAGGCAGTCCAATCATTCAAAGTGTGAGATATAAAAACATTCCATCACTAAGGTTTTAAAAAAACATAACGGAAAAGTAAATAAATAAATTTCAAAGGTCTGTATTTTGGAAATAGTCTAGGAGCCAAATACGATTGGCCACGGAATCCTAACTGGCTCCTAGGCCAAGATATGAACTTTTTGTCATACAATAATGTAGTGTGTATTTAAATTCAGATTACAAAAAATTTTATATATTTTTTTTATTTCAAAAACAGTTGAGTATAAAAAATTATACAGGGTGGTCCTAATTAATTGTATTCCGATATTTTGAGGGCGGAAAAAATAAAGTTATCTTTTCCTATAAACTTCTTTGAAAAAACTAAAATAATTAGGGAGAAAAGTAAAAAATATTTCATTCATATTTTAAANATACGTAATATAAATACGTTTATATTATTTTTAATATAATTGGATACTATTCCATCACTAAGGTTTTAAAAAAACATAACGGAAAAGTAAATAAATAAACTTCAAAGGTCTGTATTTTGGAAATAGTCTAGGAGCCAAATAGGGTTCCGTAGCCAATCAGAGTGCCACGGCTGCAAGCAACTTATTCTTAAGTATTTTGTGTCGCGCTTTTGTACTCTGAGCTTTCGCTCGAGTGCGCATACATCGCTCCGACGTACGCGCGTCTTCTTCACGGGGTTTGATAAAGAAAAACTAATAACTATAAAGCATGAAATGATTGAGAATGAGCGGAACAATATCCGGTAACTTTTTTGGCTTTTCATCGAAGTGGAATAATAAAAAAAGTCTTGTAAACAAATAAAACCAGCATTTTCGTTGAAATTTTGCAACTTTCCAAGTTGCCATTAATTGTTAAATATATAAATTAATAAATGGAACTTACCTATATTTTAAAGTAAAGTTCAAGCTTTAAAATGAGATGTCGTGCGTCTGAATCCGTTCAATAGAACCGGAGACGGAAAATGTAAGATATTTGCACATGCAGCCGTGGCACTCTGATTGGCCACGGAATCCTATCTAGCTCCTAGACCCAAATATGAACTTTTTGCCATACAATAATGTAGTGTGTAATATATTTAAATTCAGATTACAAAAAATTTTATATATTTTTTTTATTTCAAAAACAGTTTAGTATAAAAATTTGTACAGGGTGGTCCTAATTAATTGTATTCCGATATTTTGAGGGCGGAAAAAATAAAGTTATCTTTTCCTATAAACTTCTTTGAAAAAACTAAAATAATTAGGGAGAAAAGTAAAAAATATTTCATTCATATTTTAAATTTAGAGTTAAAGCATAACGGGGTAGGGCGTAGCGTGTTTCATCCTCAACTCTGTTAGAAAAAAGGTGCTCTTGTTCAATTTCGATAAATCTAACTGATTTTAAGAAATTTAGGTTTACATAATATAAGAATGCATTTGTAAACTTGAATTATTAGAAAACGTTCGATTTATCGAAATTAAATGAGAGAAACTTTGTTCCTAGTAGCCTAGAGATCATTTTTCAAATTAAAAAAAATAAGACGTTAAGAATGAACAGTACATAAAACTATTTCTTATGCACAACGATGATACCTACTACAACCTCTCAAAAAATCTGGAGATACCTAATTTAGGATTATTCTATACAAAGTAAATATCATAAGCTTGAAGACTGCAGAACGTATACAGACTACTACAATAATGTTATAACGCAAGATGGTCCCAATAACTGAGTCTACTGTCTGCCAATACTACAGGGTGTCTCAAATATAAATCCCAAAATTTTAACCCAGTACAGAACTCGTCAAAAACAAGCTTTGTTTAATATTTTTTGGAAAATTCACATTTTTATCCGATATTTTTTGTACCTATTAAAATAACGCATCCTTGCCTTTGGAGTAACGAAATATCTAAGCAACGTACTACACAATCTTAAAATTTTTTATTAGCCTAAATCTGTTCTAACACTAATTTGCTCCCATTTTTGTACTTCTTTTAGTTTATTATTATCTCAACTAAAGGTTTCTTTCACTTTTTATCCAGCGGCGGGTTAGAAAAATTAAAATAAAAAATATATATTAAACTTAGAGGTTTCGAAAAAAAAAGACTAAAATTTTTGGTTTAAATGAGATAAATACGTGGCTAAATGGTACTAATTTATGGAATAAATCAAAACACAAATGGAAAAAGAAAACTAACGAAAGAACGGCAAAATATAAGATCTCAAGATCATAGATCCAAATTTAATAAAGTATCAAAGAAATTAAAAAGAAGAAAATGCTGAGCAGACTAATCATGAATAATAAGTCGAGATGATAATGATATCGTGATGAAATGGCGGCATTGCGCTAATTCACACACAGAATGTTGATGTTACACTAATCCTAAAAAAAAATAGCGATTACTATAATTCCGCTATAAAAAGAGATTATTTATTTCGATCCCGATATAATTTGATTATGACAGTTTCGAGAAAAAAAGTCGTAAGTAATCTCGATATAAAACGTTGCACTCGTCCTCACGGTAAATAGTGGGGAATAATCTAATCCAGATATAAGAAGTCGGGAATAAGCTAAAAGCGAGTACGGACAACGGTATAAACACATCTAGAATTAATTGCAACTCTTAGTTTTACCCCAAATCGGTAGAGATTGCTTAATGTTATAGTTTGTCCTCTTTTAGGGTACACTCTCAGTCTATTTTTCCATTTACTTCGTGTTCTATATAGTCACTTTGAAGTTTCAATGTTTCCTATTGTAAATTAATCACTGCCTGGGACACCCGGTATACATCACTCAGGTGGTCTACGTGCGTCTCCGGCCAACCATTCAGCCCATCCCGTCGAGATGACAGATTTGGGGTCGATGCGTTTGTTTATGTTAGTACCTATTAATTGTAAGATACATTTGACTGTAAAAGAAACGGGGAGGAGAGAGAATTCATTCTTCCTCGAGCTGTAGACTATAACAGTTTGTAACGTTTCCATCTAATAAAGCCCAATACCGAGTGTTCAGTTGTTACTATTCTCTCTTGGGTGTTTACACTATGACGTTATTTTAGTATTTTCACTGCGTTAAAAATTGTGTTCTTCCCATGTTAAATTTTCTACGATTTTTGTGTTTTGTTATTGACTTTGATAAATATTTTGTTATTTGTTTAATCAAAAGTAAATACACTGAACTAATAATTTTTAATATACATTTATAAATTTTACATACCTATTTAAAATGTAGATTATAGTTCAATGTTCAGTTATTTATTTGATGTTGGTTTATGATATGATATATTTTGAAAACATAGAATTCAAATTCAGTATTATTGTCATGTATTAAGGTCTTTTTGCAATATTGCATGGAACCAATTACTAAAAATTATTATAAAAAAATAAGTTAAATTAGCAATTACGAAATCATATATCTGTATTATCAATTAAATGTTTTTAGGTGAAAATGAAATTTACTTTAAAAAAATATTCTAAATAAATTTAGAACAACTTTTCCTAGAAATACTTTTTAAAAATATTAAAAATAAAGGTAGTTTACTCTCATGACATTATCAGATTTTATTTTCTGGACACTCCGTACATGAAATGTTAAGCTTCACTATGGCACCCTCATTTTAAACAAGCAAAATTTTTTATCAAGTGTACCTTTTAAAAATGTAAAATAAAAAGTTTTTCCTCTTATTCACCCTAACCGAGGACATACTGTATAAATAAAAATTCAATGCCATTCGTTGGTAAGCACATCACTTGAGAAAGGCTGGATTTGACATTTTTTTTTTAATGTTCGTAATAGTCTGAATAAGGTTTTTAGGGAAAGAGTAATTGGAAAAGTTGCCCGAAAAATTGGAAAATTCGGGAAAAACATAAAGTGCTTATCACAAACAAATTTATTGAAATGACAGGACGTCAGTCGGGTTTGCTAGTCTTAAATACAGGCTGTTACAAATTCGCTTCTCACTACAGGGATCTCGGAAACGGTAAGAGCTACGAAGTGGTGGTAATACACACACCGGCAAAAGTCTTGGACCCCCGATGTTTTGTATTAGTAAATAATTGTTTTTAAATATCGTATTTGTATTTCAAAGTATGTCTTTTCTAAATGTATTTTTTGTAATATATCAATAGTTTTTAAAGATCTAGTCAATTAAAAAACAGTGGGGAAAAAAATTTGCAATTTTTAAGTAAATTTATTATGACACAAATTAACAAAACATATGTTTTAACAAAGTAAACTACAACTTAATAGTCAGTATGACCTCCCCTGTTTGTCAGTAACATGTTAACACGCCTGTGCATTGACACGATCAAACGGTTGATACGTCCTTGAGGAATATTATTCCATTCCTCTATTGCTGCTGCAGTCAACTCTTCCGCATTTTGGGGTGGGTTCATGCGTTTGCGAATTGCTCTCAAAACAAAATCCCACATGTTTTCAATCTGATT